AAGATCCAGTCCCCCGGCACAAACAGAGTAATGTTGTGTATGCTGTTCAGTGTCAGGAGGGCTGTGATCAGTCTTACATCGGGGAAACTAAACAGCCACTGGCCAAAAGGATGGCCCAGCACAGAAGATCAACATCATCAGGCCAGGACTCTGCGGTCTACACTCATCTCCAGGCCATCGGCCACTCTTTAGGGATGAAGATGTTCACATCCTGGATAGAGAGGAACGATGGTTTGAGAGAGGAGTAAAGGAGGCCATCTTTGTGAAAATAAATCGTCCATCATTAAACAGGGGTGGAGGCCTCCGGGTTCAACTGTCCTCCTCTTACACTGCTGTTATTGCTAGTATCACTCAACCCCCTGTGAATAGTAAATCAGTGTGCTAATGATCCATTGTTAGGCTGATGGTCCTTCTTGACCATGTGAGCAGCTGGTTTTGGTTGTCATCAGCAAACTGGTTGATCCACTCTGAGACGGTGCTATTTAAGAGACTGAGCTGAATAGAGCACCTCAGACTGAGGAAGTCTTTCAGATGAGAGATGAAACATATCTACATTTTTTTGCTTTGTTTTGTTTTTTGGTTTTTTGAATGTCCAGAGGACCAGATTGAACTTTTTTGGATTTTTCTACCTGGATTATTGAGCATGTATCAGGAGACTGGTGAGTAGTCTTTCACTTTTATTTTGACTTGGTTAGCAGCGCCGTCCGCTCTGTTCGTGGCGACTACTGTGTGTGTGAGTTTCAACTCCGGTGAGTAGTCTTTTACTTCTATTTTGCCTTGGTTAGCGGCGTTGTCCGCTCTGTTGGAGGTTCCCAACCGCGAGGTCGGTTTTGGTTATGCTCCGAAGTTAATTACGTAGCCAGCTGTGTTCTGGTCTTGTTTTCTAATTTGTAGGGGCGAGCGTTCGCGCACCCTTTTATCAATCATTTTTCACCAACCTCATAAACGGTTGGACTGAGTTAGCAGTGCTAGCCTCTCTGAGTTTTGGCCTTGTTTTCTTTTGGTGAAGGCCAGCGTTCGTTGCGCACCCAATCCCAATTATTTTCACCAACTTTATAAACTGTTGGACCAAGCCAGTGGTACTAGTCTCCCTACGTTCTGGCCTTGTTTTTTATTGGTGAAGGCTAGCGTTGCACACCCTCTCCCAGTTATTTTTACCAACCTCATGAACGGTTGGACTAAGCTAGAGATGCTGGTCTCTCTGAGTTCTGGCCTTATTTTAATTGGTGAAGGCAAGCGTTCACGCCCCCTCTCCCAATCAGTTGCACCAACCTGATAAGCGGTTGGATTGGGCTAGCGGTGCTAACCTCTCTGAGTTCTGGCCTTGTTTTAATTGCTGAAAGAAAGTGTTTGCGCCCCTCTCCCAATTGTCCTCTTTTACCAGCCGAGCTAGCGGTGCTAGCCTCACTGAGTTCTGGCCTTGTTTTAATTGGTGAAGGAAAGCGTTCACGCCCCTCTCCCACTTGTTCTCTTTTACCAGCTGAGCCCGTCAGCTGATCCCAGCATTCGGCTGCCGCCTCTGGGTTACGATCGGCCGAGTGGTTTGTTACCCTTGTGAGGTTCAGCAGAGACCCGACAGGAGCTTTCATGAGTCGGTCCACCAACCAGCTGTACAGGTTTGGACCGGGGACTCTGGCCGCCCCACCCCACGACCCCCAGGAGCCGTGGAGGGAAATTCTGATGCCACCGGGTCGACCACTGGATACTTCTCCCACCAGCAGCTCAGTTACTGGGCGGCTCACGCCGTGGACCCATGGGTGGTTGCCACTCTGACCCATGGTTACAGACTACAGTCCCGATGGCGGCCCCACATCTCACACCGGGTCAAGGTGACTATAATCGCCAACCCGATGAAGGCTTGAGCACTGACCACGAGTTTTTTTGCCCTCCTGGCCAAGGGTGCAATCGAGGCAGTGGACCCTCTGTAACAACCCAGAGGCTTTTACTCGACTTACTTCCTCATGCAAAGAAGACGGCGGGTTTCGTCCCATTTTAGTTCTGAGGGGACTCAACCAGTACCGAAGGGTGCTGCCCTCCCACATGCTCATGACAGCAGAGGTCCTTCAAGATATCACGAGGGGAGAATGGTTCACGTATATAAACCTGAAAGATGCTTATTCTCATGTGCCTATTGCAGCAGGACATGGCCGCTTTCTCAGGTTTGCTTATTGGGGTCATCACTGGCAGTTCCGGGTACTCCCATTCGGGCTCTCTCTCTTTCCCCAAGGGTGTTCACTCGGTGCGTGAAGGCAGCCCTCTCTCCTCTGCAGGCCTACGGAGTGTAGGTTCTGCTGTACTAATTGATTGGCTTCTCTGCGCCCTGTCTCAGGCCTGTGCCTTTCACGACACAAATCGCCTGCTTGCTCATGTGTTCCAGTTGGGCTTTAATGTCAACCTGGAGAAGAGCTGCCTGATCCCTTCCCAGACGATCACCTTTCTTTGGTGGCTCTGGATTCACCCTCCATGAGAGCTCACCCATCCGCTCAAAGGATGGGCGGCATACTCCAGTTGGTCAGTCAGTTCAGGCTCATAGTGACATGGTCACGTCTTTAAGCCCTGACTCCATGGAGGAACAAAGATTAATTGTTCAGGGGTGTCCCCATGGGAGTGGTAGTGTGTCGCAGGGAAGCGGTCATGACAGATGCCAGCTCCATAGGATGGGGCGCTGTGTGATAACGCAGAGCAGTTCAGGGCCGCTGGGGTCAAAGGACCGCTCCAACCATATAAGGTGCTGGAGCTGCACGCACTACATTTGGCACTCAGGTACTTCTTGCCCCACCTGGAAACGGGGCATGTTTTCATTCAGTCAGACAACACCTCTGTTGTCTACCACATCAACAACCAGGGGGGCACCAGGTCAGCACAACTTCTGAGAATGTCCAGAGAGCCCTTGGAATGGGCCTCTCCTCACCTGTCCACCCTACAGGCGACATACTTACCAGGGCGACACAGTCAGGCTGCAGACTTTCTCTCCCGCCAGGGGTCTGCTCAGGGAGAGTGGTCCCTCCAAAGTGACATTATGCTGATGATCTGGGAACGTTTTCGTCAGGCAGAGGTAGACCTGTTTGCGACAGAGGAGTCGACTCAATGTCCCCTATGATACTCCCCTACCGGGGCGTCTGGTGCACTGGGCCAGGACGCATTGGCCCATCCTTGGCCAAGGGTCCTCCTATATACCTTTCCACTCCTTTCTCTAATTCGGTCGACCCTTCAGGGAGTCCTCAAGGAGGGCCACAGGATGCTGCTGGTGGCTCCGTATTGGCCAGCATGACCAGGGTTCCCACTGCTGTGGGGCCTATGTTGAGGCGTCCCATGGTATCTTCCGACCAGGAGGGACTTGCTGTCTCAGTTGGGGGGACTAATAAGGCACCCCAATCCTCAACATCTTCAGCTGTGGGTGTGGCCACTGCAAGGCTAGGACAGCAGCTGACTGGAGTTCTGAGCCCCGTCAGATGCACCATCCTGGGCATTGGGGCACCCTCTACTCGTCAGCAGTACGAAAACAGGTGGTGTCTGTTTTCTCAATGGTGTTCTGACCACAATGAGGATCCAGTCTCCTGTACAGTACCCACCATTCTGGAGTTCCTCCAGTCTCTCCTTGGTAAGGGTCGCTCTCCTTCGACACTTACAGTTTATGTAGCAGCAATTTCATTTAATCACGCCAGCATCGATAGTCATATGGTGGGGAGCCATGATCTAGTCTCTTTTCTGCGTGGTGCCCATAGGTTGCACCCTCCGACAGCTCCACAAGCACCAGGTTGGGATCTGCCCTTGGTTCTCAAAGCTCTTTGGCGCCCTCCATTCAAATCTCTGGCGCAGGCGGACCTCAAGTGGTTTTCGTGTAGACAACCTTTTTGTGGGCTATGGCCTCAGCAAGCAGGTCTGCGAGCTACATGCTCTCTCTCAGCTCCTCATGTCTCGGGTGGGGCCCTGAGGGCTGTGATGTTACCTTGTGACCAAACACTGTATTTTTACCAAAGGTGTTATCTCACTGTCACTGTAACCAACTGTTGAGGCTAGCACGTTTTCAGCCTACACCTGGCGAGGGGTCTGGATTATTGTGCCTAGTGAAAGCACCGGAGGCATACGTTGCTGTTCCTGCCGTTATATGATGTTCAGACCAGCTGTCTGTGTTACAGAGGCCCTACGTTAGGCAATCCTCTTTCTAAACAGCACCTCTCCCACTGCATCGTGGATGTCATCTGCCATGTCTATGCCGCAGGGCACGGCCCCCTGCCGGTCGGCGTGAAGGCACATTCTACCAGGAGCGTGTTTGCTTCCTGGGCTGCCCTGAGAGGGGTTCTGATGGAAGCAATATGTGCTGCCGCATCATGAGCTTCCCCAAGCACGTCACCAGATTTTACAAAGTGAACGTGGCCACTCCTCATCCCCTGGGCCAGGGTCTTCTGCAAGGGTCCTCTGGGCCTCCTCAGTGAGGTGTGTGCTCAGGATTCCTTGTGACATCGTTGGTATTCGTCATTCAGTGCTTTCAGCACCGCCCTCTGGCAGTCAGGAGGGATGAAATAGAACGAAAGTTACATTTGTAACTACGTTCTATGAATCTTGGATGACAGCCAGAGCTTCTCTGTCACTCAGAATCCTTGCATTCCACGAGAAGATTCTGTAGGAGCAGAGCTGCGGATGACGTCAGGCTATATAGCCTCTGATTGGTCATCCGTGTCACACCTGTGACTCCGTTGGTATTATTACTCGAACAGCACATGCGCAAAGGGAACATTCAGTGTTTTCAGCACCACCCTCTGGCGGTCATCCGGGATTCATAGAACCGTAGTTACATACGTAACTTTGGAACTAAGCTCACCATCATGGGGGACTGAACCTTAAGCTCTGCTGCTCCTCATCTGTGGAGTTCACTTCCAAACCACCTGAAGGAAACACAAATTCATAATGATGCAACAAAAAATGAATTAAAACTTTTTTCTGTCATTTTTATTGACCTCAACTGATTTTAGTGAGTTATTTTGTTTTTATAATTATTGCACTGAGTGTAGCACTTGAGATTGATGAATGTAAAGTGCAAGTGCAAATGGAATACAAACCAGATTCCAAAAAAGTTGGGACACTAAACAAATTGTGAATAAAAAATGAATGCAATGATGTGGAGATGGCAAATGTCAATATTTTATTCGTAATATAACATAGATGACAGACCAAAAGTTTAATCTGAGTAAATGTAACATTTTAAAGGATAAATATGTTGATTCAAAATTTCATAGTGTCAACAAATCCCAAAAAAGTTAAGACAAGTAGCAATAAGTGGCTGGAAAAAGGAAATTGAGCATATAACGAACAGCTGGAAGACCAATTAACACTAATTAGGTCAATTGACAACATGATTGGGTGTAAAAAGAGCTTCTCAGAGTGTCAGTGTCTCTCAGAAGCCAAGATGGTAAGAGGATCACCTATTCCACCATTGTTGCGCAGAAAGATAGTGCAGCAATACCAGAATGGTGTTACCCAGCATAAAATAGCAAAGACTTTTAAGTTGTCATCATCAACTGTGCATAACATCATCAAAAGATTCAGAGAATCTGGAACAATCGCTGTGCATAAGGGTCAAGGCCGTAAAACTCTACTGGATGCTCGTGATCTCCGGGTCCTTAAACGTCACTGCACCTCCAACAGGAATGCCACTGTCAAGAAAATAACAGAATGGGCTCAGGAATACTTCCAGAAAGCATTGTCAGTGAACACAATCCACCGTGCCATCCGCCGTTGCCAGCTGAAACTCTACAGTGCAAAGAGGAAGCCATTTCTAAGCAAGCTCCACAAGCTCAGACATTTGCACTGGGCCAGGGGTCATTTAAAATGGAGTGTGGCAAAATGGAAGACTGTTCTGTGGTCAGATGAGTCACGATTTGAAGTTCTTTATGGAACACTGGGACGACATGTCATCCGGACCGGAGAGGACAAGCATAGCCCAAGTTGTTATCAACGCTCTGTTCAGAAGCCTGCATCACTGATGGTATGGGGTTGCATGAGCGCTTGTGGCATGGGCAGCTTGCATGTCTGGAAAGGCACCATTAATGCAGGGAACTATGTTCATGTTCTAGAACAACATATGCTCCCATCTAGACGTCATCTCTTTCAAGGAAGACCCTGCATTTTTCAACACGATAATGCCAGACCACATTCTGCAGCAATCACAACATCATGGCTACGTAGGAGAAGGATCCGGGTACTGAAATGGCCAGCCTGCAGTCCAGATCTTTCACCTATAGAGAACATTTGGCGCATCATAAAGAGGAAGGTGTGACAAAGAAGGCCCAAGACGATTGAACAGTTAAAGGCATGTATTAGACTTGAATGGAAGAGCATTCCTATTTCTAAACTTGAGAAACTAGTCTCCTCTGTCCCCAGACGTTTGTTGAGTTTTATAAGAAGAAGGGGGGATGCCACACAGTGGTAAAAATGGACTTGTCCCAACTTTTTTGGGATTTGTTGACGCCATGAAATTTGGAAACAACAGATTTTCCCCTTAAAACGATACATTCTCTGTTTAAACTTTTGATCTGTGATTTGTGTTCTATTCTGAATAAAGTATTAGATGTTGGCACCTTCACATCATTGCATTCAGTTTTTATTCACAATTTGTTTAGTGTCCCAACTTTTTTGGAATCCGGTTTGTATATTATTAGGTCCGAGCAGCGAAGCGCTGCGAAGGCCTATTGTAATTGCTCTGTTTCTTATTATTACGATTCTTGGTTCAAAAGAATTGCTAATTTGGAAGGCTTAACATATCTGAAAACTCACCAAACATTACCAAAAATTGTCCCCCGCGTGAAATTTTAGTATTTAAATGCAACCAAAAGTGGGCGTGGCCAAACTGCTCCACAGTACCCCCTAACGCAGGGGTGGGCAATTATTTTTTTCCATAGGGCCACATGAGAAACAACTATATTGTGGAAGGCTGGCACAAATGACTTTTTCATTCAACCTTTATTTAGACAGGTAAATCCCATTGAGCCTCAAGGACTCATTTACAAGAGAGACCTGATTTCAACTTAACTCAATACTGCATAATATTAGTATTTCATTATTAAAAGCAGTACATAGCACTGTTTTAACAAGCTGGTAAGAGTATTTGTTATTATTAAGCAACGAAAAAGCGAGGTTTCCTTACAAAAAATGGCATTTATTCAATTAAATTTCCCAGTACAATGGTAAACTGTTAACATTTTTACCATTTGTGACGTTATATTAATGATCATTTTCAGTCACATTCACCCCAAAACTCATTTTGAGTTTTATATACTGCTGGAAAAAGTTCTTAGCTTTCCAAATATATCACAATATTGTCTTTGTACTCCAAATATTATGAAACATCATATAATAGTGATCGTCACTGAACTGTGATTTCGAGTCCCGGTTCTTTACGTGCCTACATTTGTAGTCTAAACATCTCATTTGGTGTTTTTCTGTTCTTTTTTCTTGCTTAGTGAGAGAAGTCTAGTCTCCGTTGGGCTTTAACGAAATGTTAAAGTCAGGTTGAAGGTCTGAGGTGGAGATGTGAAGCAAAGCTGACATCATCAGTGAGAGAGGATCTATATCTGGATTTGGTTAACTTCATTTGTTTACATATGTATTTTGTAATTCCCCTTACGGGGGCCGGTCAGTGTCAACCAAAGGGCCGCATGTGGCCCTGGGGCCGTACAATGCCCAGGTCTGCCCTAACGTGAGATAGGACAACTGGTAAGTTGTACAGAGCTGAAATTTGGTACATAGGTAGAGCCCACTGAATCAAGAAAAAAAGTCTTTTGGAGGTATGCCCTAAACCCAACAGGAAGTCGGCCATTTTGTGTCAAAGTTTCATTTTTGGGCATTTTTCACTTTTCATACATGGCGAATTTGAACGAACTCCTCCTAGGGATTTCGTTCAATCACTTCCAAACTTGGTCATTTTGGTCAAAAGGCTTGGGGGATGAAAAGTTATCAAAACGGTTCGTTTCGGAGCATGCTGAAGGGGCGGGGCCAGACCTCAAAGTTATGCTTCACGCCATAAATTTCCTAACGCTATAACTTTCACGTTGAAAGACCGAATTGAACCAAACTTGGCATGAGTCATCCCTGTCCAAAGCCCAACGATCCTCTGATGTCAAATTCTGATGTCTTCAAAACCCCGCTCCCTCAGAACAGAAAGTCACTTTTTTTGCTTGGAATGCTCCCACTCGGACACCCTCGATCGAATCAGGATGCTCCTGTGTTAGAAGACGTATAACAAGTTGGACTGACTTGCTTTAGAGCACAAACTGTTTTTGCTGGAGGATGTGGGCGTGGTGGCATGGCGAATTCGGAAGTGACGCCATTGCAATACGTTTGGCTCTAAATTCCACAGATTTGATCAGAAGTTCACCAAAATCACTATGATCGATCATTACCCACCCCTTGAACAGGAAGCCATGATAATTGGCCAATAGCCTCCATAGTGCCCCCTAGAATATATTAAAACCTCAGCCCCAAGCCATTTTTCGAGCGATAATTCTGAAACGGTGAAAATCTGTATCTTCGCAGGACCTATGAAAAAGTCTCTTGGAGCCCTGGTCCAAAACGAACAGGAAGTCGGCCATTTTGGGTCAAAGGGTCATTTTTGGGTGTTTCTAATGGTAAATTTTAACAAACTCCTCCTAGGGATTTTGAAGGATTGCCTTCAAACTTGGTTAATATGTTCTTAAGACATTGGAGAGTAAAAGTTATACAAAGCTTTCGGTTTCGTTTTGTTAAAGGGGCGTGGCCAGGCTTCAAATTTGCGCTTCACGCCATAAATTTAAAAACGCTATAACTTTCACAATGAAAGACCCAAAAGCACCAAACTTGGCATGACTCATCCCTGTTGGATGCCCGACGATCCGCTGTGGTCATATTTTGACGTCATCAAAGCCCCGCCCCCTTAGAACAGGAAGACTCTTGGAATGCTCCCTTTTTGACATCCATGACCTAATCAGGATGATCCAGTCTTACAATACAGATAAGATGGGCTGAGTTGATTTAAAGTGCAAACCGTTTTTGCTGAAGGATGTGGGCATGGTGGCGTGGCGAATTAAGAAGTTACGCCGTTGCAATATGTTTGGGTCTAAATTGCACAGATTTGAGCCGATGTATACCTAAATCACTATGATCGATAATTATCCACCCCTTGAACAGGTATCCATGATAAGTGGCCAATAGTCTCTACAGCGCCACCTACATTCTTCCTACAGTTATAGCTCAGTGATACAACATCCGATCTGAACCTTATTTTTGGTGTGTCAGTGAGCACTTATGGACACATTGGTATTATTATTTAACATTTGACTCTAGTGCACCCCCTACATTATTCCAACAGTTATATCTAAATGATACATCATCCGATCTGCACCAAATTTATGGTGTGTCATTAGTGAGCACTTATGAACACATTGGTATTATTATTTAACTTTTGACTCTAGTGCACCCCCTACATTATTCCAACAGTTATATCTAAATGATACATCATCCAATCTGCACCACATTTTTAGTGCGTCATCTGTGAGCATTTTTAGACACATTGTTATTGTTGTTTAATAATTGACTCAAATGCACCCCCTACATTATTCAAACTGTTATATCTCAGTGATATATCATCCGATCTGTACCAGATTTTTGGTGTGTCATTAGTGAGCATTTCTAGACACACTGGTAATGTTTTTAAAATTTTGACTCCAGTGCGACCTCTACATCATTCTAAAAGTTATATCTCAATGATACATTATCCGATCTGCACCAGATTTTTGTTGCGTCATCTGTGAGCATTTCCTAACACATTGTTTTGGTTGTTAATATTTGACTCAAGTACGCCCCCTAGATTATTCAACTTGTTATATCTCAGTGACACAACATTCGATCTGCACCAGATTTTTGTTGCGTCATCTGTGAACATTTCCTGACACATTGGTATTGTTTTTTTTTTTTTACTTTTGACTCAAGTGCGCCCCCTACATCATCCAAACTGTTATATCTCAGTGATACATCATCTGATCTGGACCAGATTTTTGGTGCATCATTAGTGAGCACTTATACACACATTGGTTTTGTTGTTTTACTTTTGACTTAAGTGTGCCCCTACATAATTCAAACTGTTATATCTCAGTGATACATCATCTGATCTGGACCAGATTTATTGTGAGTGATCAGTGAGCCCTTAAAGACACATTGGTATTGTTCTTTAACATTTGACTCAAGTGCACCCCATACGATATTCCAACAGTTATATCTCAGTGAATTATCATCCGATCGGAACCGGATTTTTGCTGCATAATCATGAGCATGTCTAAACACATTGATATTGTGGTTTAACATATGACTCAACTGTGCACCCTCTCATACTGATATGGGAGGAAGGCGATTGCAAAGTTTAGGCATATACGCACCCTGGTGAAGGCGTGCGGGAATGGCAAGAGAGCGTTTGCGAAGGTGACAAGGAGGCATTGCTGGGGCGCCTGCTGATGTCGAAAGTCCGGCGAATGCGTACTCCAGTGAAAGGGCACGGGACGGGAGTGTGAGCGTTCGCAATGGCAACTGGGCTGAGTTGCTGGAGCTCCCGCGGTCGCCGTAAGGCCGGAGCGGCGCTTTGCTGCGAGGGCCTTTAATGCTGCTTGCAGCTTTAATTATTATTATTATTATTATTATTATTATTATTATTATTATTATTATCATAATTGGCAGCTGTGTCTGAGTAGTTATAGCAGTCGGCCTCCCATAGGAGAGTTGGGGGTTTGATTCCACCAGCAGTCACATGTTGAAGTGTCCCTGGGCAAGACACTTAACCCCTCATTGCCTCTGATGTGTGTCCCATCAGTGTATGAATGTGATAAAGCTCTAATTATTCTTTGTATAGATCTAGTAGAGTGCTGTATGAATGGGATATGAGGACACATATTGTGTTGTAAAGAGCTTTGAGTATCTTAAGAAAAAGATGAATGGTAAATGGACTGTACTTATATAGCGCCTTTCTATCTTATCAAGATACTTAAAGTGCTTTACACTTCAATCTGTGCCCTCATTTACCCATTCATACAGCCCTCTACTAGATCTCTACACAGCTAATTGAACAAATCATTCTAAAGAGACTAATCAGTGCTTTATCACATTCATACACCGATGGGACACACATCGGAGGCAATGAGGGGTTCAGTGTCTTGCCCAGGGGCACTTCAGCATGTGACTGCTGGTGTATTCGAAGCCCCAGTTCCTGCATTGAAGGATGACTGTTCTAACCACTCAACCACAGCCGCCCCAGAAAGGCACAATACTAATAATTGTTTATTATCATTATCATAATTATTGTCAATATTTTTATTATTATTAATCATATCAAAGTTATTTTCAGTACTATCATTATTTTAATAATGATCATTTTATTATTATTATTATTATTATTATTATCATTATTATTAATATATATATATCAATACTTTTTTGTTGTTGTTGGCGGCATTATTATTATCATTATTAACATTATTATGTTTATCATCCATCCATCCATTATCTTTTACCTCATTTTTCCTTTTTGGGTTGCTGGTGTCACTGGTGCCCATATCCAGCAGTCACTGTGCAAGGGGCAGGGGACACCCTGGACAGGTCTCCAGTCCATCGCAGGGACATAGAGACAATGCTGATGTTTGACGAAATGTTTTTTTGCTATTAGTGCTTAGTGTATATTTAGTTGATGTTTTTCTTAGTTAATATCTTAGATGTTATCATTGTTTTTCATTTACATTTTATTGTTGGATGTAACTGGGACCCTGTGTACATAATTTCGCTCCACCACATGTACCACATGAGGTGCGAATGACAATAAAAAATCTCTGACTCTGACAAACGAGACAACCATTCACTCTGTCACTCACTCCTAGGGACAATTTAGAGTTACCAAAAACATGATCCTTTTCATTAATATTAATATTTTCATTATATTTGTTTAAAAAAAATTATAATTGATTACATGAAACTTTTTTGATTTGGAATCTTTATCTTTTTCCAAATTAACTTGTGTGTTTTGTCTCTCATGTTTCTCTTCTGTTGTGAAACTGCCCAGAGTCCTGAAGGGGGTCATGAGGGTCGGAGTTCTGGCCAAAGGCTTGCTCCTTCGTGGAGACAAGAACGTCAACCTGGTCCTCCTTTGCTCTGAAAAGCCCACAAAGAGCCTCCTCACGTGCATCGTGGAGAACCTCCCAAAACAACTCACAGTACTGCTTTTACCATAATCATCCTACACTTTGATACAGTTTATTTTAATTGACCTGGTTTTAACAAACAATACAACTTTATTTATATTTATTTTTAAGACTATTTGTTATGTTAGTTTGAGAAAATTTGAAACAATATTCATGATGGTGTTTTCTTTTCAGTATTTTTATTCTGTCAATGGCCTCAACAGTGAACATTAAAACTATTAATCAAGCCTGCTAGACTTCATATTTATCAGTATGTCTTATGCTTGCTGGGGGTTGGGGGAACTGACAATAATGTTAAATTTAATGTTATTTTCCACCTAAGTAGACATTACACAGGGTGTTGAGAGAAAAAATTTGAACAAAAATACAGAACGTTGACTGCTGTGGCTGAGTGGTTAGAGCAGCCGTTCTCCAACGGGATGGTTGGGTGTTCGATTCCACCAGCCGTCACATGCTGAAGTGTCCATGGGCAAGACACTGAACCCCTCATTGCCTCTGATTTGTCTCGTGATAAAGCACTGATTAGTCTCTACAAATTCAGATTATCTTTGTAGAGATGTAGTAGAGTGCTGTATGAATGTGTGTGTAGTACAGTGTTGTATGAATGTGTGTGTAGTAGAGTGTTGTATGAATGTGTGTGTAGTAGAGTGCTGTATGAATGTGTGTGTAGTAGAGTGCTGTTTGAATGGGTGTGTGTAGTAGAGTGCTGTATGAATGTGTGTGTATTAGAGTGCCGTATAAATGGGGGTGTACTAGAGTGCTGTATGAATGGGGGTGTACTAGAGTG